ATTGATTTCTTTTGGTTTGTTGGAGCTTTGGTTTGTTTGAAGATGAAGAGTCCCATTGAGGATTGTTGAAGACTCCATTGAAGATTGCTTTGAAGATGATTGAGTTTGTTGAAGATTGTCTCTTGCATTGAAGTTAGGAGCTGAAGCTCTGAAGAGGATGATTCCTTGAAGATTGTTAGAGTCTGAAGACTTTGTGAAGATCAAGTTGATACTTGAGAATTAGGAGCTGAAGCTCTGAAGAGGATGATTCCTTGAAGATTGTTTGAGTCTGAAGACTTTGTGAAGATCAAGTTGATACTTGAGTTAGAAGTTGAAGCTTGAAGAGGATGTTGAAGCCTAGAGAAGTGAAGGATACAAGTTGATACTTGTGTTAGCTACAGTCAAAGCCTGAAGAAGCAAGTTGAGACTTGTTGTTGAAGATGAAGCCTGAAGGTGGAGTCTACAGTTGAAGATAGCTTGGAGCTGCTGAAGCAGAGTCTCCTGGGTTGCTTTCTTTTTCTGTATTGTTTGTTTGCTTGAGAGCATTCCCCATAGGCTTGAGTGGAAGCTAGCCTTCCCTTGCCTGTTGTTTGAATAGGTTCGAGGTTGAGTGTGACTCCCTTGCCTCGCTTGTATTGTGCATAGCATGCATCTTTACTGTTGCTGATTTACTGTTTATCTTACTGTCTGTTTGTTCACCATTGACATGGTTCCCCCTAGGTTCTCACTCTTCCCTGATGGGAAAGTGAAGATTAGACTTTTAGGCTGAAGCCTTTGCATGATAATTTCTAGGAGTTCCCAGTTCTAAACCCAACATTAGGATGAATCCTTAGTTGCGTTCTCTTCTCATCTACAAACAGCTTAAGATACAGTAATCATGAATGATTTCTTTCGTACGCCACGAGCCTTAAGCTATCTAGGAAACGGCTGTTGGAGAGCTTCTTTCCAATAGTTGGGATGTTTAGTATGGTACCCTTTGGGTGACATGCGACGCATTCACTCCTAGGTCATAGTCTTTAGTGCGATTGAAATTACAAACACAATAAAAAACACTTCTCGCGTAAAAGATTGAAAACAGACTGAAAATCATTTTCACTTTGGGGTAAGCAAATTAAGAAGACTTTTCTGAAGAAAAGAGTGTTGTTAAACTTCAGCGCCACCGCAAACAGGCTTCGTCCCTAACTGCTGGAACTGCTGTTTAACCTTACTCGGGTAAAAACTGTCTGAACAACCCGTGTTCCGTTTTTTCCCGAACTACGTTAGCTCTGATTTTATCTGACGAGAAATACGTAGGCACAAGATGCGACGTCTTGGCGAGCCACCTTCCACCTTTCACCCGTAGTTAGCCGAACTACGTCGACTCTGATTTTCTCTGAGGAGAATACGTAGGCCCAAAGCGCGACGCTTTGTCGAGTCCTTTCCTTTTCATTTCTTTTTAGTTTAGTTTTGTTTCGTGTTAAACCAGCCTTGATAGGTAGATTAGATTAACAATCCGTCCAGACAACAAACAAGCGTGGATCCCATCGAGTACGATGGACGTGAGGGGTGCTAATACCTTCCCCATACGTAACCGACTCCCGAACCCTAAGATTTGGTTGCGATGACCGGTCTTGTCCCGTTTTCGCGAGGTTTTTCCTGTTCGTTTCCTTTCCCGCTCGAGGGATAAATAACGAAAGGTGGCGACTCTTCTGTCTAGCCGGCACCTGATTTTCGCAGTAGCGACAAAATGCTACAAGTCTAGGGTCGTCTACTTCCTTCGCAGCATGAATATTCTGAGGGTCAACGAACAGGTTGTCTCGCATAGACTGAAGTCGCGCAGGAACAAAGTCGTCGGATGGACGGCGAAGTGTCGGATTAGTCCTTACTCTGAAGCTAGTCATGCGATCCATATCTTCGTTCTCTTTACTATCCCTTAGTAATACTTCGAGATGGGCGAGATGTCAACTGACAGGAAAAGACAGAAGACTGAAATGAGGACGCAGAGGAGAAAAGACTCATGCACATGCAAAAATGCTAAGTGCATAACGCTAATGCAAAAAATGCGGATGAGTAGGACTTCATGGGATTCCTCTATTTATGAGCATTGCGGTAAAAAGAAACATTTATTAAATTGAAACGAAATACATAAATATTCTTTTAAAAGTCCCAAATGAAAGCTAAATAAAAGCTAGAAAAGACACTAAAGAAGTTTTGAATTCTGCTGCTTGAGCTGCTCCTCCAACTGAGCCTTCTCACGGGTGAGATTTTCCACAATTATCCTCCAGATAGTACACTGAGGGTCGGAGGAAAATAAATCCTCCATCACTCTCCTTCTCTTGTGGGGAAGTAGTTCTTCATCCTTCAATTGTAATTGCTCTTGAAGTTTAGCAATCTGCTCTTGAAGTTCATTCTCATGTGTCTGAAATTCCTTCTTCAGTTTCTGAAATTCTCTTTCTCGCTCCTGAGATTTCTTCTCTCGTTCTTGAGATTCCTTCTCTCGTTTCCGAAGCTCACTAATATCTGCAGTAGCAACTTGATATTTGTTCTTCCATGCCTCTGACTCATGCCGCGACTTATTCAAGGCAACCTCCAACTTCTCAGCATCAGACATAAAAATATAGACAGGCTCTCTCTTTGGAGGTAAAGGGCCTTGACGAGAATAAGGCATCCTCAGCTTGATTTCCCTGTCTCTTACCCACTGGAGATACGGTTCTAAAGACGCACAATTAGGCTTCCCTAGACTTCTCTTTCCTTTCTTGTACACACTGCGCCATGCATCCAAAACTCTTCCCAGAAGCTCTACATCTTTGTGGAAGAAAATACTCTTTACATGGTCACTTTTGGGAGGTTCCTTCAACGGATATCCCAACTGTCGACGAGCTAGAACGGGATTGTAGTTGATTCCTCCATCAAAACTGAGCAATGGTACATTACCAAAGTTACCACAGCTATCAATGATTAATATTCCATCATATACTCGATTGTACCAATCAATGTCAGAATGAGTTAATGCCATAACCTTAGGAGACCAAAACTCCTTGCCAACATTTGTAAAAGAGCTAGACTTCGGCAAGTGCGAAATAAACCACTTGTAAAGTAAAGGTACACAGCAAGTAATCATCCCTCCACCACGAAGGTTTCGGAGATGTATAGAGTGATATGTGTTACCCAACAAAGTCGGCACTGGGTTGTTCTTCATGAAGATTTTGAATGCTTTGAGATCGATGAAACCTTCAAAACTTGGAAATAGAAATATCCCATAAACAAGTAAGGCGAAGATTGCCTCAAACTGAGCCTTGTTCGAATTTTTAGCATGAAATAAAGCCTTCTCGACCAAGAAACCTGTCTTTAAACCAAGAATTCCATCCTTAGTGACCATGTTTGCCTTGACGTCGGACGCCTTTAAACGGAGGGCCTTAGCAATATCTTTCTCATCGGGGTCCTTTTCCAAGAAGGGAAAAGGAAATTCTTCCAAGATAGGTAGACCAACCAAAATGGAGTACTCTTCTAATGTAGGTAATAACTGAAAATATGGGAAGGTAAAACAATGATAGAGAGGATCATAAAACTGTAGTAGAGTAGCAAGAAGTCCTTCATTCACTGAGCGACTCAATAAAGATATCAGCTTCCCATATTTTTTCTGGAATTCCTCTTGATCCTTGATAAAGCCCCATAACTTCTTTAGGTCATCCAATTTGGGACTCCTAAAAGTATATTTCACAGTACGTCTTTCATTTGAAGTCATTGTGACCTACAATGTTCATAAACGAAAGTAAATCCCATGAAGTCCAATGCATAATGATGCTATATGAATGCAGCAAACACAAGTATTCACATAAGGACATAAAGGTAAACAAACAAAGGGAACCCTAGGTTTGCAACGAGCATGGAGTCAAAGGCATACCCACCCTCAGAGGTTTATGGACTAAAAGTTGTTTTGTACCTGCAGAACAAGGTTCTAAAGGGACTCAAAGTCATTAGCCCATCTTTCGGATATTATCAACTTCTCAACTAACTCGAGGGTTAATAATATTCTCAAGAGAACTTCTTTCGAGTGTAGCTTCGCGTAGCACTATTTCGGGAGTACTCCCTCATAGTCCCGCACTACATCCTAATAAGGCCAAAGTTGGGTTAAGGTAACTACGGTTCTCAATATCATATGCTCCAAGGTCGAAAATAATAAGTGTCTTCACGATTACTCGTTCAACAGTACTATTTCGAGAGGGCCTCAACTGAGCAGGATTCTCGGTTCAACTTAGTCGGGATTCAACTCCCTATAAACCTCCTCGAATATATCCCATCCTATCTTAATTTCTCTCAAAGTTCGGGTGTAGAACTTTATCTCACCACTCAAAGATAACAATCCCAAAAGAATAAACATAAGAGAAAATAAACATTTAAGCAGGTAAGCAGATATATAAAGCAATAAGCAAAATAATAAGATAGGAAAACCCACTGAAGAGTCCCCAGTGAAGTCGCCATTTCTGTCGCGGTGAAATTTTGATACCAAACTATTGATTAGTTTGAATCGTTAATTCAATTTGCAACCGAACTTTGATTTGTCCAAAGGAATGGATAAAGATCGAAATTCCCACGATGCAATGCAAATGCAAGCTTAGATTGTTTTAGGTTCGGGGGTTGGTTAAACTTAGGGAAGGTACTAGCATCCTAAGTTTCTGTAGTACTCTACAGGAACCTCTTGTTTTATATAACGATTATATAAGGAACCTCTTGTTTTATATAACGATTATATAATGGCCCAATCTCGCGTCTTCTCCTTCCACAGTTCAGTTCCGCCGTTGTCTCCGTCAACAACAACCATCGCCACTAACCACCGACATAACCATCAATCAATTCTTCCCGCCACTCACCGCCGTTCCATTGTCAACAACGTTCCAGCGCCGCCACCGTTCTGGTTTGTTTTTACTCTTGTTTTTCAAAGTTTTTCTAAAATTGAGATTCTTTCTGTTGATTTTCTATTTCTTCTACTCCAAATTTAAACCCTAAACCCTATAAGCTAATCGCTTTGCAAAAGTATAACTATGAGTATAAGGTGGCCAAGAGTGTTAAATCCAACTCAGCTTTCTCAGATTATAAGAACTCAAAAGAACCCTTTAAAGGCTTTGAAAATTTTCAACATAGCCAAATCAAAATACCCTAAATATTCCCACAATGGTCCCCTGTTTATGCCACCATGATCACTATCCTTGGATCATCAAGTAGACTCAAAGAGATGAGTGATTTGATTGAGCAAATGAAACAAGATTCATGTGAGTGCAAAGATTCCGTCTTTGTGTCCGCAATTAAGACATATGCAAAACAAGGGTTAGTAGATGAAGCAATCTCTCTATATAAGAAGATTCCTCAGTTTAACTGTGTGAATTGGACGCAATCTTCCAATACCCTTTTGGAGATAATGGTGAATGAGGGTAAGCTTGAAGATGCTCCTGGTCTTTTTGTTGAGAGTTCTTGTGGTTGGGAAGTGAAGTCTCGCGTTCGGGCGTTGAATTTGCTTATGTATGCTTTGTGTCGAAAGAGTCGATCGGATTTGGCGTTGCAGATATTTCAAGAGATGGATTATCAAGGTTGTTATCCTGATAGAGATAGTTATCTTGTTGTAACGAAGGGATTGTGTAAGGATAAGAGGTTACATGAGGCTACTCATTTGTTGTATTCAATGTTTTGGAGAATCTCTCTGAAAGGTAATGGCGAGGATGTTGTAATATATAGGACTCTTTTGGATGCTTTATGTGATGATGGAAAGTTCGAAGAAGCTGTGGAAATTCTTGGTAAGATTTTGAGGAAAGGACTGAAAGCTCCAAAGCGATGCTATAACCAACTTGATCTTAGTCAGTGTGGTGATGGTAAAGATGCGGAAGTTACTAAACGGTGGATTCACGAAGCTTTGGTAAGGGGTTCAGTTCCTAGCACTGCTAGTTATAATGCCATGGCGGTTGATCTAAACGAAGAAGGTAAGATAGACGAGGCGGATAAAGTTATCGTTGAAATGAAAAACAAAGGCTTTAAACCAAAACATTTGATTTTTGAGGCAAAGGTAGCTGCATTGTGCAAGGTTGATAAGGTCGATGAAGCGATCAAGGTAATTGAAGAGGACATGGTGGAAGTCAATTGTCTACCAAATGCTAGGGTTTATAATATTCTCTTGAAAAATCTTAGTAATGTTGGAAGTTCGACATTAGTGCACGAGAGCTTGAACAAGATGTCGAAAAAGGTAGGTTGCATGGGCGACAAAGAAACGTATAGCATTTTACTAGAGATGCTTTGTCATGAGAGATAGTATCTTGAAGCAAGCAAACTTTTGGAGCAAATGTCAATTAAATCATATTGGCCTTGTCCCAATAGTTACAATTTGCTCATTGAGGGTCTTTGTTCCTTAGGTCGGCAATACGAAGCTGTTATGTGGTTGGAGGACATGATTAGCCAGGGGAAACTTCCTGAAATTTCTGCTTAGAGTTCATTAGCATCTTCATTTTGTAATTCCGATTTGTTGAAAGTGTCAGTCGAGATGTTTAATTGCCTAAGAAGTTTGTGATTCTGAGTTCTGGTGTAAAATATAACGATTATATAATGAAAAGAATCGCGCACTACCATTTTTTTCGAGTATACTTATGCTTCTTCATTAGCTTTGAAGCATTGCTTTATAATTCAGCCTTTTCCGAGCATCAGGTCTGCAGGTTATGTTCTGAATGACCGAGTAACCAAACTATTTTGTACCAAACACAGCTCTCGAGTATCAAGCCTGAAAGGGTGAAGATGTTCCACCGTGGCAACAACGGGCTTATCATAGCAATACCGGTCAACAAGATCTGAAAGATGGGTGAATTAACCAAGACTCCTTCCTCGACTGATGGCTAATTAATCATCAAGAAACCAAAATTGTAAAACTCTAACCTCCATGTTTCTGGAGCAGGCTCCGACCACCATGATGCTTGATTGCCTTTGCCATGTGACCACTGTTACTGAGAAGAGTGAAGTAGAGTAGAAGAGACTTTTTTTCTTTTTTCTTTTTTTTCTTCACTCGTATATGCACAACACAACTTAACCACTTTTGTAAATCCATGTTACATCTACATTCGTGGGACTATAGGTTAAGCCTTTTCGCTTCTAGAATGACTACAGACTACAGTTGATCAAAGTTGTGCACTTAATGGCGTGGAACATTAGAACCATGTTTCCCTTTCTCCAAGAAAGATAGTAAATAGGACGTTGGCATATCTTCATAGTTAGAGTGAATCTTGATGACCGGCTCAAGCCTCATCTAGTTGCTAAAGGTTATCCCAGATTTTTGACTTGCATTATGGTGACACCTATTCCATAAAATGCATTCACCCGTGGTAATCTCAATCAAGATTTGATATAGAGCAACCTCCTAGATTTGTTGCACAGCATTACGTTTCAAGACAAGTTTTTCATCTTTGCAAATCTCTATATGGTTGAAGCAATTCCCTACGGCTTAGTAGGGTAGATTTAGCACTTCGATTCAATAGTTTGCTAAGGTAAAGAGTGAGTATGACTTCTCGGTTTACTTATACTTAGTTGTGTTAGTGTACATTGACAACATTGTTGTTACAAACAGTGAACACCACGATTATTATCAACATTTTAAAATAAAATGTCTAGAAGGAAGTTCCTAAAGTAAGCGTACAATGGAAATTCAAGAGGAGACAACCTTTATCAATGCTATGCCTATTGACACTACTATGATCCTAATGTAAAGCTTCTGCGATATTAGGTACTACCACAACCACCCTAAACAAATATCTATCATTGATAACATAATACTCTTCATTTAAAAAATACTTCCATCTGCAATAAAACCAAGAATTCTAAAGTGAAATGAAAACCTGAATAAATGAAGTCTTTCCCACTGTAGTTGAAGCCGTGTTTCACAAGAGTTTCACTGCCAAAGCAAGAAAACGATGAGAACACTAAACAGATAAACCATATAAAACTTACCAGAGAGAAACATGATACCTTATGGTTTCAACCTTGTCAGCATGGCCACTTTCTTCCCCAAAAGCACTGCCATAATGAAATCTACCACATGAAACCCCTGCTTTCCCTCCAAGAAGCTCTATCATCTTTCCAACTGTCATTCGACTGATGCCATAGAAATATTAGTTCACATCCAGAACACATGTAACATTGTACTTACACATTTATTAATTTAAAAATAGTTATTTTAATGTTAAGCATAAAAGAGAAATCACATCCATTCTACAAAAAGACCATTTGAGCACCGATACTCTACCGCATAGCACACACTCCTTCACATCTCTACCTTCCAATTTAATTCCTCGTTATCAACAACTATATCATCTTTAAAAAATGCATTGTGACACCCACTTTTAGATATGTTCAATAAGTATATTGGTAAACAAATAACAAAGATAGTGCCTCAAAGTTGGCCTCAGTGAACTCCTATCCGATGTTCTCACACAAGTTACACATATCTCTGACCTTAACGCCCCCTCATTTTGGCATTGTCAAACTTTCATTAAAGAAATAAAAAACTCTACCTTTACTGTTTGTTTTCTTCTCCATCTGAAGAACATTAATCTTATTTAAATATAACATTACTTTGAAGTTCAGAATCCTGCTCCGTTTTAGTGTCAACATATAACTAGTGAGAATGATATGAATTACCTTGGAAACCCATGAGGATTCATAATCAGATCTGGACAAATGCCTTTCTCAGAAAACGGGAAAGTCTTCCTGCTGGACAATTGTTCCACAAACACCTTTCTGCCCATGTCTGCTACTGAATTTATCACCAAGCCAAGGAAACAAATACAGCCTGAGAAATCAATCAGCTGCTTCAAATCAAGAACAGAACCTCACAATAAACCGAACAAAACTTTACCTCAGGCCTCCTTGTGTGACGGACTAGAAGTTTGATACACATGTTACTATCCTTATCATTGCAAAGAACTACTCTATCAACTACTTCACCTCCATGACATTTACTGAAAGTTGAATGACTGGACCGATATGCACTGCATATAAGGAAAACATTTAGGAAAAACATGAAGAAAAATCTATTTAACACAAACTTAACCACAGTAAAATTTTAATGTCAATAAAACAAACCTATCGGGCAAGTTAGCTATAGATCCATGAGTTTGCTTATCAATTGGTGATTGCTTGTTTACCATAATGTCATTTGGCCTAATAATTTCTCCAGGAGCAGCAATCCCATCATCATCAAGTATCTAGAGCAAGCAAGAAAACAGGGGGCAGAATTATTTAATTACCTGGGAACTGATTTAGGGATTAGACAATGTATTTAATATCAGCAATAAAATCAGAATAGCGAATATACAAGGAAATGGGGAAACTAATAAAAAAAGAACATTACAAGGAAATCTGGAAACTGGTAAATAAATAAAGGAAATAAGGATTCTAGACTATAAGGAATCTCGAAAATCATAAAGGTTTGTTTCCCTGTTCGAATTACTTCCCAACTTATAAAAAATGAAAACTTCCTAACATAGAAAAGTCTGATTTCCTAACAAAAAACTGTCTGAGATAGAAGGCTAGCTTGAAAACAGCTTTCAGTTAAAGTTAAAGTGCAAAGAGGAAAGTGCCAAAGTTGACAAGGGTCCATATCAGAAATTGGTGGGAAAGTTGATAGAAGATCTACTTCAGACTATAGTATCTTCTTGTATGAAAACCTTCTTGCTTGGAGGAGTAAGACGCGAAGTGTACTTACTCGAATAAGCGCTGAAGCAGGGTTCAGAGCTATGTGCCCGTTCACATATTATAAGCATCTCTCTCACAAAAAACATTGAGATTGATTGACATTCCATTGAAGAAAAGTTGGATAGTGGATTGATAAGTACTGCCTACATACTAATGGGCCTCAGCTCACCGATGTGTTAATAAAGGGTTTACCAACAGAGCGATTCAACCAACTTACTAGCCATTCACCAACTTGAGGGGGAGTAATGTAAATATTAGACTGCAAACACGACGTCAAGTTGTCATTGCGGGAATGATTGAGATAGTAATGAAGGGTGTTGTCTAGGACTTTTTGTTGCATAGTCAGAGGCGGCTGCTTATAGGTTTTGAGAGCACCGATGATATCTCAACAGTTAGGGAAAAAACTAATTACTAATTTAATTTTAGTAAGAATACATTAGTCCTATATACAATTTCTTGTACATATATATTACTATACAAACTATACAACGACCAAAGCCTCGATCAAGAGATTTTTTAAAAGTATTGAAATATTCAATTTTAATTCAATACATCTTATGTAACATCAATTAAAAATATATTACTATAGAAACTGAAGGCATATCACCTGCATATTTCCCCCCGAGTCTGCAGCTCTATTGGGCCTCAATATACGATCTTGTGTGCCATTCTGATACTTTTGTCTAACGGCAACATACCTAAACATTCAAGACTATCAAGCTTGACATTGCTACTTAAAAAACGTATCAATGAAATATGTTGCAACCAGAGAAGTGAAATCACCAAATAAAATAGTATATACCTTTTCATAACTATACAACGACCAAAGCCTCGATCAAGAGATGACTTGTTCATGACAATTGCATCCTCAATATCATAACCACTGTAGCTCATTACGGCTACAGTGGCATTCTGACCTGCTCCAAGCTTATCATATCCAACCTAAAAGCCTAAAGATTAATAAGAGCCCTTGACACATTGAGAAATAAAACAATGGAAGCATTACTTACCAGCTCAATTGATTTTGTTGTCAACAAAGGTCGTTGAGGATAAACCAATAGATAAAGTAAGGTGTCCATTCGTCGGAGCTAAAAAAACCAAATTAAAACTTCATCACTAAGCATGGAATATCGAAGTTTATCTTTAATAGAACAAACATACTCTACAAAGAAAACACAGTGCAGCAGCATAGTTACTCTACACACGAAATGCAAGAAGAAAAACAGTCTCTGTAGCACCGAAACTTCTGAATAAATGCATGTATGTGTCTGTGACGGATACTGACACCGACGCCTGTGATTACGTTCAATTATTAATTTTTTAAAATTATTCGTGCTTCATAGAAAATAGTTGCAACTCATCGGTTATTGGAAAAAATCCAAGGCCTGCATTGAAACAGTATAAAGAGTGGCACTACATACCTTCCAACCAATTTTGTAAGGATGAATCAGATTCAAAATAAAAACCTAAAATCTTATAATAGCTTATTGATTTGGACCACCAACCAAATTGTCAGCACACCAAACTCAATAGTGTGGGAGGTGGATGGGCGTATTATAAAAAACTCAAGTCCTACATTGAAAAATGATTAGGCCGGTAAAGAGAACCTAATATTAGGTCCTCGTGTAAACTATTGTGCTTAGACATATATTCATTTCTATACTTTCGAATTAGATCACCATCCAAAGTATTAACATGATTGATACATTACAACACCTCTACAATCACCCGGCTAGCATACAGTGCAAACTTCACCGCTTCTAATTTCATAATAATCAAAATAAAAATCAATAGAACATATATCATGTCAAACATTGCAGCACAAATAGGTTCTAATGTGGTGGGTGGGGGGCATAGATAACAAACTTTTATGGGCATTAAATTTAAGAGCTTCGGATTCCAGGCAATAAAATGCACATTAACATAGAAGGCCTCACTCCAAAAGCGGAGTAACTCGATAAAAACTGATGTTGCGTATCATTTTGAAAAGAGACCATATGGTTCAGGTATATTTCAAAAACAGTATTTGCAGACCTAAACATATGTTTGTATTTAATTCCATACAGACTAAAGAAATAAAGCTAATAGAAATTGACTCATTAAAAAAATTAGTCTAAATTTAATAAATTTGTTTAGAAAAATATATGGATAATATTTTCATCAAGTTTAAGCTGCATAAACAACAAATTGTTTACTTGCCTGGTTATATGCTATATTTCCCATAGCTTGCTTTCCCATTGCACACTACAGTGAACAGAACAAAAGCTATTTCAAGAACGGAAATGAACATTGTCTATTCTTACAAGTGCAAAATCTTAGTTACTAACTTAAAACCAAAGGGGGCCAAGGAGGAACAACCTGATAAGTGTTTCTAGGAGATTGATTATGATGAGGGTATGGAATTAGCCCCGCGCAAACTCCTAAGATAGTGAAAGGCTCAATCTCAATATGGGTAGTTTCTAATGTTGCACCTCCTTCATATAAAGCAATCTATAAACAAAAAGAGGCACTGGTTGTCAAGAATAAGATTTTAAAGACAAAAGAAGCTAGATTTAATTTGAGAAAAACACACCATAGCATTGTTTTCCTCATTGACATCAAGATACTCAATCAAGCCCTTACGTAAAAAGTCACGAAATGTGCACACTCCATCCTGAAAACACATTTGAGTTAATATTTTTATAAACAGCTCTCATTCTCTATTTCAAGATAAAAGCATATGATAAGATTACCTTTAACTCTTTCATATGATAAGCTTTGACTCTTGATATTCCTTTGTCAGCAATGACAAGAGGACGGCAAACTCTACCACCATCTGAAGCTAAGTAAACACAACACTGAAAACATGTTTTTGTCCGTTAATAACAGTTTCAACTCACTCCCTTCTAACATTACAACAGTTGAAGAAGCACAATAAGTATAGATTTTGAGCTAACCCATAGATAGTGGAAATAGATAGCAATTGTTGTAAATACAGGGTCAAATTGCATATGTAATTATTAGGAGTATAATACTTGCAATGATCAGCATTAGTGTATTTATTATTTATCTAGTAAATAGAACTGGTCTAATTATTTATATATACCTTGTACACTTCAACTCGTTCAATAATATTCATATTAGACCTTGTACACTTCAACTCGTTCAATAATATTCATATTAGACCTTGTACACTTCAACTCATTAAGTAATATTGAAAGTTTCACTCTCAGCGATGAAACTAGAGTAAAATAGTATATTCTTGGCATATTTTTAAATATTTTAAATATAACATACTTACAAACACAAACAGTATAACCATATTTTTAAATATGAAAATAAAAACTGAAACATACACCAATTAAGAGATATCACCAACCCAAAAAAATGACTGAACTAAAAATAAATAAATAAATAAATAGTATAAGTACAAAACAGTGAGAATAAAATGGAAAAAGAATCAACTGCAACAGAAGTACTCACCTGTTTTTCATTGACATAGATACTCACAAATTCGCCAATTAGACATGCTCTTCGCAACTTTCTCATTGCAGTAGCAAAACGCTAGAACAATAAAATTTTAAGGTTTACGATAAAATGAAATAATTATGAATGCATATTTGAACAAGTACAAATTGTATATGATAAAAAGCATATCAATACCCGTGGTCTCCTGTGCTTGCCAAGGATAAAACCATTAAAAATGACAAGAAAGGAATCGGGTGTATGAAGCTCTTCTCCAGAGAGATGTTCCATGTTTTCAACACCCAAACTATAGCACTGACAGAGAAATAATAAACACAAATTGTAAAACACTAAAGTAAACAATAACGCATGTGGAAACATGTTCTATCTTACATCTTTTTTAAACAATACAAGTTAAATTGAAGCACAATAACTAGTTAAATAAAAAAACATACACACAAACAGACACTCACACACATATATAATATCCAAGGGAAGAGAATCAAAGAGTGAAACACAATCTTACTTAGACAAATACATAAATAACAAGATAAAAATCCAGCTTATAAAGGATAGTCAATGACTAGCCTTTGCAAGCACAAAGAACGTAGCTGCATAAATGCTCTATACTGGCCAAAGAATAAAAAAATCTTTACTTTAAAAGCATGAAAAGTGCCGGCCCGGTCAAATCCAAACCTGCTTTAACCCCTAGACTTAGAGTGGTATATTACATGAAACATAAGTTTGACAAAATGATGTCCCCGTAGAAAATGCTTTGGCTACCATTGATTGGCCCAACTTACAAGTGTATCGGAGGAAATGAAAAATAAAAAGAGTAGGAGAAAGGTAGGACAAATGATCCCAGAATCCCACTGAAGGGAGCTTGATAAGCCAGCTTTAAATAAGTGGTAAAAACTTCTATCATGGTCCCAACGATCTGCACTTTCCTTGCCAAACCGAGGTTGATGATGCCAATGGGGAAAAATATTTTCCAAACACCTCAGGGGAAAGCTCCGCGAGGCATCGGCAGCAAACCAGTAAAACAAACAAGCTACCAAATAAAAGCATTGTGAAAACTTGGGCTAAGCCACCTTAATTCCAAATTGGGCTAGATGTGCCCTGGGTTAGGCCCAACGAGTTTGGCCTTGGATAAGGCTATCTAAAACCCCCTTTTTATGAATCCAGTAGATAATAACACTAAATTGGGTCTGGCTTATTATATTTAAAATAAGACCCAAGTTGCAAAATACCCCTTTTGCCCCCACTACATTTCATATCCACCAATACCCAGAAGAATGGCTTTGGGTGGGGTGATATAGGTTGTAATTCTTGTTTCTCAGCTATTATTGTCATGTCATCCAGCATAGTATTTTGAAAACGTTAAGTCTTCACTTACACGTACCTAGTTTCTAGAACTATACACTAATTTCCACTGTATACAGGATTGTTATCAAAGGTTCTGCTGTCCTAAGCATTGACAATCGGTCAAGAGCTACACTGCACTAGTTTCTGACAGTTACAATTTACAAATTGTCTCATAGTTAGAATGAGTACAGGTTAGTACCAAATTGATTGAAGGTTAAGTTCTGTATAAATACTTATTATATAAGTTATCAAGTTCAATTTTGAGAATCAAATGAATGAATGAATGAATGAAAATTCGGTCAATTTCTCTCTTTTTCCTATGGTATCAATGAGTTCATGATGTTTGAAACATGGCCTGGGATATCTTCCTCTACCACCACCTCTGCTAGTTGTTCATGCCACTAATCAAAATGTGGTGAGGACAACACATACTTGCAATTTAAGGCTTCGCAAGCTTCGGCATCAGCAAAAATTGTCATGCTGGTTATTCTAAAGTTTGTCTCTCAGTCTTTGTCTAATGCCCCTTGGGTTGTGGACTTTTGAACTTATAGTCATGTTAGTGGTAATGCATCTCTTTTATCGAAAATATCCCAACCTAAAACCCTATATTACCTGTTGGAATTTCCGCCTTCTTCATTTCGGTCTGCCCTTAGTCGCCTAATTGCAGCATTTGGTTTGCCTTAATTGCAACCTCCAACGCCTTTCATTGTGTTGGGTTTGAAGGGGTGGATTTAGTATCACATTGCTAAAAGATATGACATGTGGTGTGTTTATAAGTGGGGACAATCCTCACCCAATAACTCGGTTTTGTAGGATTGAGTTGGGTTCAACCCAAACTTTGAGATGATATCAGAGCCTATCCTAGACCTGATGTCGAGCTTCCCGCATCGTCCACGCTTCGGCCTCATTAAGGCCCGAGCGTAAGGGGGTGTGTTGGAACTGCTGCCTTCATTTCGGTCTGCCCTTAGTCGTCTTAGTTGCGGCATTTGGTTTGCCTTAGTTGCGGCATTTGGTTTGCCTTAGTTGCAGCCTCCAACACCTTCATTGTGTTGGGTTTGAAGGGGGTGAATTTAATCCCACATCACTAAAAGATATGTCATGTGTGTTTATAAGTGAGGGCAATCCTCACCCTACAAGCCAGTTTTGTAGGGTTGAATTACGTCCAACCCAAATTCTGATATTACCTTTGCACACAGATCAAAAACTAGATCAAGTGGCATTGGTCCAGCCACCCTTCTCCTATCTTTATTTCTTGACTATGTTCTTTTTGTTTCTAATTGCCCATTTAATTTAATTTATGTTAGTCGTCTCACCCAAAGTTTAAATTTTACTCCCTCCGTCCCAAATTATAAGACGTTTTGGGTATTTCACACGAATTAAGAGATGCAATGATTGTTTTATGGGAAAGATAAATGATCTATTACTTTACAAAAATGTTCTTCATTAATTACATTGGAAAGCAAAATTAAAATAATAGAAAGAAGAAAGAGTAATAAATGATAGAGAGTATTTTAGGAAAAAGTTATTAATGTTGTATATTTTTTTGTAAAGTGACTTATAATTTAGGATAAAGGTAGTATATAACTTCCATTCTTGATTCCTTTATTATTTTAGACCGGAGTTTGTAGCAGATGATTGGTACGGGCTATGAGTCACACAGACTTTATTAGCTTCAGTCTCCATCTACAATTGCTTCAACTTTTTTTACAAAATTATCATGTCTTTTCATCGCCGATTAGGTCATCCAAGTCTACAATTGCTTCCACTTTTTTTACAAAATCTTCATGTCTTTTCATCGCCGATTAGGTCATCCAAGTCTCAAAATTCAAAGTTACCGTTCCTCACTTGTCTCAGTTGCAATCTCTAGATTGTGAATCACGTCTCATCTTCCTCACAACACGTAAGCCGAGGTTTCCTGTTCACTTGTGGATATTGTTCATTCCGATGTATGGGAACCTAGTTGAGTCACTTCAGTTGAAGGACATAGATATTTTGTTACTCTTACTGTTGAGTTTTCTAGATGTATGCGGATCTACTAGTTATCACCTTTTTGAATTTTCTATTATGGCACTACGTACTGTTCTACTCGCAATCCCTATCCCATTTCCTCAGTTATCACTTTCTTTCTACTATTTCTTGCCTTTCTTTCTACTATTTCTTGCCTTCGTTTCTACTATTTCTTCCATTATTATTCCCAAGTCCCTGTAGTAAGCTTTTTCTTATCCAGGTTAACAACAAACTATGATTATTGAGATAACAGCTTTGGAAACTAACCAAAATGTACACTTGTACCACCACCTCTAGGAAAATCTATTGTTGAATGTCGTTGGACTTACACATTTAAAGTTGGTTCAGACGGAAGAATTGATTGTTTGAAAACACATCTAGTGGCTAAAAGTTATACTCAGGTGTTTGATCTTGATTACGTTGATACCTTCTCACACATGACTAAAATTGCTTCTGTTTATCTTTTTCTCTCTATGGCTATCATGCAACATTGTATCACTTAGACAAAAAGAATGCATTTCTTCATGGGAACTTGAAAGAAGAAGTTTATTTAAAGCAACAGCTTGGTTTTGTTGCTCAGGGGGAGTATTGTTGGTATGTTTGCCGCCTTCACAAAGTCTTGTATGATCTCAAACAATCCCTTCGAGCATGGTTTGGAAGATTCAGTTTCGTGGTTCACACTACGCCATGATTCGGAGTGAGGTTGCCACTCAGTTTTATAAAGACACCTCACACAAATACATTTATTTGGTTGTGTGTTGATGATATAGTCATTACAAGTGATGATCAAGATAGAATTGCATGACACAAACAACATCTGGTATGGTACTTTTACGTCAAAGATCTAGGAAGAGGGAGTAACTTAGGTTTTCCATGTATTGTTCTACCTTGTACTTATTCTTTTACGAATCAAACGGACACTAATCACAAAGGCTTTAAATATTTATCTCCTAATTGCATTCTCTAAATCTCCAAAGAAGTTCCTTTTCGCGAAGCCAAAGTACAATGACTCAACCATACAAGCATTACAACTTGGAAGTCATTGGCTCAGTTGGGATATGATAAATTATGAATAGTAATGATAGATAAAAGGAGAACAATACACTCGAATACAACATTTCATTGCAATTATATTGGGAATAACTTCCTAGGGTAGCAGTTACAACCTGCAACAGCAGTTACAACCTGCAACAGCAGTTACAGAATATGCAATTAACTGTATAATTAAATACAACCTCTAGGATTAGAGAGTCTGGTCTCTCCAAGTCCAAATCAGGCAACAACAAACTGAACGAGACTTTCTCCTTCTTTATTCTACTTAAATACATTATATCTAACTAGCGTCCACGCATGCGTGTCCGTCTGTCCGCTTTTTAAATGCGCATGAATGAAAATATAAACGATATTTTTTGTTTAAATAAATTTTTTTTAAAATACAATATGTATAAGTTAATAATAAGAAGTTACATGAAAGTTAATAATAAGAAATTATTAAGTAAATTACATAATAAAGTAAGGGTAAAAATGGTAGAAAAATAAGCGACACCAAAAACTTGTATCCCCTTTATATATAGTTATAGAAGATTATATAATATAGGCCTGATTTACTAGGCATCGGCCCTATGCCTAACATGTACTTCCTCCGGTCTCAAATATAAGCAACAAAAAAGGAAAATTCAATGGTCTTAAATATAAACAAAAGTCACCTATATTGATTACATTCAATGTCATTATTCCAAATATACCCGTACTTTTTTCACAATTCTCTGTTTTAAACGATTTCCAAAGCAAAAATAAGGGTAAAATTAAAAAGAGTGTAAGACTTATGCATTTAGATATTTTTCTTAAAGGGAGAGTTTTTTTTGTAAAATTGCTTATATATATGAAACTGGAGGGAGTACATTAGTGATTGGAGGTCTACTAATAGGATATAGGATATTGGGCCTGTGGGACACTAATTATTGAATTTAAAACCCAATATATAATAAATATTAAATATAAATTATATAGGAATGCATATCAGAATTGTAATCCTCTCTATGTTTGTTATGCATAGTCGGTCTCAAACCTTGTTAAAAGAAGAAGGTTGGTTAGGCGGTCAACAATCAACGTAAAATTTGTCGAATCTCTATGACATGGATCAAATATGTAAAGCGGTAAAAAACCAACGCAAAAATAAAATAAATGTAGTAGATATGAGCATTAGGATGTTGCATTGGATTTAAGGTAAGACTAAACGAGATAAGACTAGAAATAACAATATTAGAGTGTTGGGATAACATCCATAGTACAAAAGATGATGAAAAATAAAGGTTAGGTGGTTTGGGCATGTAATATAGAGAGAAGGCATGTGGATTTTGTAGTAAGGGTAGATAAAAATGAAGGGTATCCAAACAACTAGAGGTAGGGAGAGGCCTAGAAACACCATAAGAGAAACTATTAGAAAATACCAAGTTGGATAGAAACATAATTTTTGACTGAATGTTATGGCGTAGTTTGATACATATAGCCAACCCTACTCGGTGGAATAAGGCTTGACTGTTATTGTTGTTGTATATCTTAAGAATTGTGGTTGGACTTAACTCAAAATTACAAAACCAAGTTGTAAGGTGAGAATTGCCTCCATTTATCAACATATCCCTTTTCCTTGTAGATTACACAACAATGCCAAAATTCCCATATTTGTCCTTTAGGTGTTCAATTAATATACATGATTAAACAATCAAGTCATTAGCTAATCACAGTTAGTAGTATTAATAAACAAAAAATGAAAAAATTCCATCATCCAATGACATCAAACACATAAAACATACCAGAGAAATCAGGGGGGCTTCCTCTTCATCATTAGTGACATGAGTCATCAAAGCCAGGTTCTTTACTAGTCCACAAGCTTCGCCTTCAGGAGTATCACATGGACAAAGCATGCCCCACTGTATCAAAGAAGAATTTAGAAAATAAGATACAAAAAGTTCATAAGTGAAAACAATTTTTTAAAATCTAGAATAAAAGGCCGTGCAACATAAGAGCACAACAACAATAAAGCCTTTAGGTAAGCTACAAAGATGAAACAAAATCATCATGTTCTATCCAAAAAACAATGCAATATAAGAATGATATATCAAGAAGGTTCCCGAGTGGACAGCAGCTTACCTGGCTAGGCTGCAAAGCTCTAGGGCCACTTACTTTCCGGGACTTCTCGAACTGTGGCTGGACTCTTGTCATTTGACCTAAAGCACTTATAAATGACAACCTCTGTAGCACCTGGAAAAAAAAATTCATTAGAAGAAATATTTGCAGATAGAAAGGAAACATCAGAAAGGGAAACAATAAACAACCTGTGTCACTCCACTTTTTTTCATCCTGAACCTTTTAACCTCAAAATTACCAGTTGACAGCGTCCTTTCCAAACCAGGGGAGATACAATCGCGAGTAACAAGTATCTATAAACACACCCATAGATACTAGGATCAGTTTGGATTAAAAAACCAACAACATAAAAAATGAACACATAAGATGATGATGTAACCGATGAAGTATGCCTTTCATGTGTACAAATAATCCGCATTTAAAAGATTTTATATTGATGATGAATATGATAAATTTTGGAGCTTCCCAAGAAAACATGACTCTATCATGATCAGAGATTTGCAAGTAAATCAGTGTCCATATGTTTTGTCAACTTCATCTATGCTGAGGCATGCATTACTGGTATCCAACAAAAGTATGTGTAGTTGATGCATGTTGTAATCAGATGACAATCAACGCTTTGAAAAAGAATCATCTTGGACAAATAAATAAATAAATAAAGGATCATCTTGGACAGACAAGTCCAAATAAATATGAGGAATGACATGGAAAAAGAATTGAATAAAAGGAACTCTGAAAGAGGGATCAGCCGTAGACTTTTGGGTAGACTTTTGGATAGCTTCAGAGAGATTGGATTTGATTAAAAAAACGCTTTGATTTCATTCACATGATTAATTAGAAGTATTAGAAAGAACTTACACGAGAGAAGTCAAAAATTTTAGCCTTGTCTGACTTTTCCAAATTTTTGTCTGCCTGAATCTTAACATCAAATGTCATAGACTTAAAAAGATCCTGAAAGAAAGAAGAATAACTTATGCAATGAAAGATGCGCAACGTATAGTTGCAGAAATTAGTTGTATACTAATTTCAACAAGATAGTACCTTAAAAAGAAGAGAGATCAACTGGCCAGATAACTCCAATCGCTTGTTACCCACATAATCCTATGAGTTGAAAGAAACAGTTAGCTGATAGTAGCTATTATTGCCCAATGCCAACACATAAACACAATTCTACACAGGCAGAGTACATGTTATATGATTTTAACTTAGAACTATACAAATTGTGCATATGAGCTTTCATAATAAAAGCACTAATTAGGATAGAAAATAAAAGAGAAGCTGTCTCAGTTGTTAATGTATGTTATTGCAAAACAGAAACTCAGTTTCACTGTATTCTTTAATTTCTAGTACTGCTTTAAACATGATAAGCATTTCAAAACTATGGAACTGCCAAACTCTTGAGTAATTTTCTTTTATATTTTTTACTTATAATTAAAACTCTTGAGTAAAATGATACTATCAACCTCATTCAAACCAAGGTAGGCATATGCGACAGCTAATCACATTCTCTATGGATGGAATCTTAGGCGAAAGAAGAATATGGCTCCAAATTGACTTGTAATTCTTATGAAGGTCGTGAAGAACAGTGCATATCTCAACTATTAAGTAAAATTGAGTTCCAAATACTTAAGACCTCGTGTTAAAGAGAAGATACTACCTTGTCATCCATCGCATCCGCATTTAGAATTGCATCCATTATGCGTCTTATCATAACAGTAACATATATACATTTCGGCCGAAAATTATCTTCGTGCACCTAATGACAACAGAAGAAGCGGCTAATCAGATGAAACCTAAACCAGGTCAGGCAAATTACATGTATTACAATAGAGTGAAATCAAGTTGTAAAATGTTGAAACTTTCAGGGAAAAAAAGAAGACCCTTAAAACTCATAATGTTCTTATGATTCAAAGAAAACTTACCGGTACGTTTGCAAGAAAGACATCTCTTAGAATAGAAAATGCTCTTCCTTCCTACATAAGAGTTTCAAATAACAAGTCAGAAAATTGTTGAAAAAAGAAAAATTTATACATTATTTTATACATAGAAAGAGAATGCACTAATAGACAAACTAATGACATGAGAGAGATAGAGAGATTAAAACCTTCTCAGCTTGCGTGTTTTGAAACATGGAACGTTTTGCCTGATGTGCACACAAGCCATTAGCAATAAACTTAACAAAACTAAATATTAAGTATATGTATGTAAAATTAGAAACATAAGTATATAATTAAAACCGGAAACTGCCTGTTTGAAATAGTTAAATCCGTTGTATGTTTCCCATTAAGTATGTGTTTGGCAACAATGCCAGTGACCGCTGCCGCATGTTCACATCCTTTCCACCGTGACTTTCTGAAGCTACTATTGGTAGCTTTTACAAACCGTGCGGTATTGCCGTGATTTTTACAGAGTTCCAAACATAGGCTAAAAAACATTTGTCTTTAGGTTCATGTGTGTTTAGATTCATGCATTTAGGGAGTTGAACTTGTATTTATTTCTCCTTGTAAACATAACATGTAATTACTTATGTAGTGTGTATAAATATCATGGTTGCCGAGTGTTTCTCACTCAAGCACATACAGAAAATTTCTTATTCCTATTTTTCACATGGCATTAGAGCTCCTGATCTAGGGGACTCAACTTCTGCAAATAATTCACTTCACAGGAGAGAACCTACCCTCAAGAGTTTCCCCTTCATTGGAGAGAATACTCTATTCACTTTACAGTATTCCAAAGATACACTATTCACTGTGTTCTCTTATTTATACACATACTATCTATAACAACCTCAACTAACTAACTACTCTAACAACTTTAACTACTTTAATTTCTCTTTATTCTTTAGTCCTAAGATAAAAGCATCAAATTCAATTAGATATAAGAAAGAAAATACAAAGTCTAAGATTGTGAACAGAGTGGAAGATCTAAGAATAAGTGAATTTAGAACAAACCAAAGCCCGCCTACTAATGTACTAAACTACAAAACTCAAAAACAAAAAATAAGAATGAAAAACACTTCAGAACATTTACAGGAAAAGTTTTCTTTTCTCCAAATTGGAAGTTTTCCCGACACAATATCACTCTACCACAAATATTGCAATTGGATAAACTATGTGAAAGGAAAAACCATGGAGAAATTGAATAGAAACTGGCACCAATAGTGAAATTGTTCTAGAATGTCCTAGAATAACTGACTGAAAGATAAAACATAACTGCCCTAAAATAACTGTTTGATAGAATAAAATCTGCCACATTCAGTTTTGATTCCCAATAATTCCTAATAGGAGGTCAAATCTAACCAAATCCTTTGTGAATGGGAATAAGACAGAAGAACTCACTTTTGAATCAAGGTACTCCAATACTTGGGCTTGTGTAAATACACCACTTTTTGTACATTCCTGATTAGAGAGCAAACATATTAAAACGTAACATAAATAATAATAATAATAATATAATACGCTTTGTTACGCTAAGAAAGAGCAGATAATTATATAGTTATTATATGAGCAATTAGCTTCTACCATCCATTATAATCAAATGTGTGTGGAAAAAATTTTAAACTTGACAAACGAGGCATTTGGAAGAGCTTATCATAAGTATTTGTATTGATGTTTGGATATACTTAGAAAAATAATCTATGACATGTCCATCTTGTCAAAAAACTTTTTGTCCATAAGTTGTTTTAGCTTATTAAATAATTATCATCTTAATAATAAGAGCTAAGTTTAAGCTCCCCAAAGTTGTTGGGTGAATGAGACCTTAGTTTATTGTAACGCATCCCTAACCAAACATACATGTCAATTACCTCAATGGAGGGCAAAAGTAGCAAACTGTAACGAGGATCTCTTCCAATCAATTGTACAACTTCTTGATCACTCTCCATCCCCATAGCTTTCATTACAACCATAAGAGGAACCTATTGGATATAACAAGAAGTAAAAATTACCAAACCCAAATTATAATGCAATCAAAAGGCTAAAGGTGAAAAACACAATGAAAACGCCAAAGTGCAAACCTTTTTTGGAAATTGATTCAATTCTAACCACATCTTCTCTTTTTCCATCAAAATGGTAGTTTTTGTTTTTATTTTGTCTGTGCTACTTGTAACAGATGCAGTAATGCTGAAAGCCAAAATAGGAACCAAAATATGTTTTAAAATAACATGGAATAGGACAACCCATAATCTAACATGGCGGGATAAATGCAAAACACATAGAAAGCTAACAGTAATTTAGTCAACAACTTTCGAGATAGAGAAAATAAAACTTAATAGAGGGGGAAAATGCAGAAATACTACTTCAGGAAGAATAACATAACCACCAACAAAATAACCAAAAACATGAATGTATCCCATTAAAACCACAGTTCATATCTGTAAAAATTAACATCACAATTATAAATCAAAATAGTACAGTTTTCTAAATTCATAATCTATTCTGCAACACTTATATTTTGAGGGTAAAAGTAGAGTTCACAGGGAGAGAGATACAAGAGGAGCACTAAGCACAATGGAGTGATAAACAATCACTCAAGAAACCAAAACTAGAAAAGAGAAGAAAGAAATTAAAAACGGAAGAAAAAAGCAGCCAAGAAAAGATTATGAAGAAAGAAGAGAAAGCAATTTGATGGACACCAAATGACACATGAGGAAAACAAATTTTCTTACTGGATATGAACTGAAAAGGAAAGAAATGCAGAATAATCTATAGAGCTTATAGCTTCAAAAGAGAAATTTCAAGCTTCTTAATTTATAAATGAATGGCTATCAAAAAACAAAAATAGAAAACCCCAGCAAATGTTTTTCACCTAGTACACCTTTGTTTTGTTTTTTTTTTTATCTGGGAGGATTATCTTTATTGTTTTCGGTATTGTTATAATGGATATAAAATGTAAAACAATTTACTCATGAAAGTATATCTCATTATTTCCTTGCTGGCAGTTAGATGTTCTACCATAACCCATGCTTCAGAGCCAAATACAAAATGGAAGATACCAAAAAATGAACCTTACAAGTTACAATTATTATGAAAGCACTATAATATCTAATCTGAGAGAGAAAAATTATCCAAAAGCACTCTTACTTGCTTACCAGGTATGATAAATTGGGAAATAAGGAGAGGGCAAAAATCATAAAATTACATATGATGAGCCCGTTGTTGCCACGGTGGAACATCTTCATCTGTGTTTGGTACAAAATAGTTTGGTTACTCGTCATTCAGAACATAACCTGCAGACTTGATGCTCAGAAATGGGTCAATTATAAAGCAATGCTTCAAAGCTAATGAAAAATCATAAGTATACTCGAAAAAAATGGTAGTGCACGATTCTGTTCATTATATAATCGTTATATTTTACACCAGAACTCAGAATCACAAACTTCTTAAGCGATTAAACATCTCGACTGACACTTTCAACAAATCGGAATTACAAAATGAAGATGCTAATGAACTCCAAACAGAAATTTCAGGAAGTTTCCCCTGGCTAATCATGTCCTCCAACCACATAACAGCTTCGTATTGCCGACCTAAGGAACAAAGACCCTCAATGAGCAAATTGTAACTATTGGCACAAGGCCAATATGATTTAATTGACATTTGCTCCAAAAGTTTGCTTGCTTCAAGATACTTTCTCTCATGACAAAGCATCTCTAGTAAAATGCTATACGTTTCTTTGTCGCCCATGCAACCTACCTTTTTCGACATCTTGTTCAAGCTCTCGAGCACTAATGTCGAACTTCCAACATTACTAAGGTTTTTCAAGAGAATATTATAAACCCTAGCATTTGGTAGACAATTGACTTCCACCATGTCCTCTTCAATTACCTTGATCGCTTCATCGACCTTATCAACCTTGCACAATGCAGCTACCTTTGCCTCAAAAATCAAATGTTTTGGTTTAAAGCCTTTGTTTTTCATTTCAACGATAACTTTATCCGCCTCGTCTATCTTACCTTCTTCGTATAGATCAACCGCCATGGCATTATAACTAGCAGTGCTAGGAACTGAACCCCTTACCAAAGCTTCGTGAATCCACCGTTTAGTAACTTCCGCATCTTTACCATCACCACACTGACTAAGATCAAGTTGGTTATAGCATCGCTTTGGAGCTTTCAGTCCTTTCCTCAAAATCTTACCAAGAATTTCCACAGCTTCTTCGAACTTTCCATCATCACATAAAGCATCCAAAAGAGTCCTATAGATTACAACATCCTCGCCATTACCTTTCAAAGAGATTCTCCAAAACATTGAATACAACAAATGAGTAGCCTCATGTAACCTCTTATCCTTACACAATCCCTTCATTACAACAAGATAACTATCTCTATCAGGATAACAACCTTGATAATCCATCTCTTGAAATATCTGCAACGCCAAATCCGATCGACTCTTCCGACACAAAGCATACATAAGCAAATTCAACGCCCGAACGCGAGACTTCACTTCCCAACCACAAGAACTCTCAACAAAAAGACCATGAGCATCTTCAAGCTTTCCCTCATTCACCATTATCTCCAAAAGGGTATTGAAAGATTGCGTCCAATTCACACAGTTAAACTGAGGAATCTTCTTATATAGAGAGATTGCTTCATCTACTAGCCCTTGTTTTGCATATGTCTTAATTGCGGACACAAAGACAGAATCTTTGCACTCACATGAATCTTGTTTCATTTGCTCAATCAAATCACTCATCTCTTTGAGTCTACTTGATAATCCAAGGATAGTGATCATGGTGGCATAAACAGGACCATTGTGGGAATATTTAGGGTATTTTGATTTGGCTATGTTGAAAATTTCCAAAGCCTTTAAAGGGTTCTTTTGAATTCTTATAATCTGAGAAAGCTGAGTTGGATTTAACACTCTTGGCCACCTTATACTCATAGTTATCCTTTTATCCTTTTGCAAAGCGATTAGCTTTTAGGGTTTAAATTTGGAGTAGAAGAAATAGAAAATCAACGGAAAGAATCTCAATTTCAGAAAAACTTTGAAAAACAAGAGTATTAACAAACCGGTGGCGCGCTGGAAAGTTGTTGACAATGGAGCGGTGAGTGGCGGGAATTGATGGATGGGTATGTCGGTGGTTAGTGGCTGCAGGTGTTGTTGACGGAGACAACGGCGGAACTGAGCTGTAAAAGAAGATAACCTCCTAACCTTCGAAGAATCGAATCAGACAGCTAAGAATCAGCAGAAGACAGGAAACAGAGGTTGAAATCAGGGATAAGATTAAGAAATTGGAGTTAGGGTTAGGGATCGGGGGTTTTTCCTGTTGATCGTGTTAATTGAGTTTGATTGGTATAGTATAGTTATCTTAATAGAAAACTATTCTTTTAAGCCCTACCAAAGAGTTGTCTTGATACTGTCCAAAAGAAAAAGGAATTTTCTCGATTTTTTTCCATGGATAAAGAATCCTTGCTGCAAAAGATAGAGGTCCCAATTGGATAAATCCAACAACGCAGCAGATGCTAAAAGGTAGATAAGGAATATATAAATTTCAGTATTAAATGAAAAATATAGGTTACTACGAAATTTTCATCCAAATAACCAACTTTACCCCCTTAATATCCAAACTATCTTACTTTTCCTCGTATTTTTTAATTTACCCAACTTTCGTATTTATTTTTTTACAAGGAGGCGCCGTGGGGTATGGCTCATCCTTTATAATTTATAGGGGACGTCATCCAGAATGGAGGCACCCTATAAATTATAAAGGGGGCGCCATCCCCTTTACCTCCTCCATTAAATCTGAATTTTTAAAATAATTTTAAATATATAATAAATTTAAAAATATTTAATAATTAAAAAATATTTAAAAAATAATAATTATATAATAATAATTTCTGAATAATTTTTATATATTTTACAAATAATTAATAATTAATAATTTCATTAATAAATTTCAAATAATAAATAAAAATCAAATTGTATTTAATAAATTTAATATTAAATAATAATTACAATTTTTGAATGCCATTCTATTTTACTTATTAATAATACTTTTAGAGTGTTATGTTGTAAATACCAATCTTAGAAGGTCAACATAGTTGAAATGTCATAGTTTCCATTGCACTATAATTTTACAATATAAGTTGTGAAATTAATTTCAATGGTAACGTAGAATAAATCATGCAATTAAAAATAAATAAATATTATTTTATTCAATAATTTTACCAATAAAAAAAATTGATGCGTTGATACACCCCCTTGTTTAGAGATAGGTACATTATTCAAAACAAACATCTTTACTATGGTCCAAAGAGAAAATTTTCTTTTTACTATAATGAAAAGTTTAAAAAGAATAACTTTAATGATTAGCAACAAAAAAGATTATTTTTATTTATAAATTTTATCAACAAAAAAAATGATGTGATCATACACACCACTTGTTTAATCATATTATCTCACTTCAATGGTGTATTATTCAAAACAAAATAACAAATGTATGGTCCAAAGAATAGTTTTAACGATTAACAAATTTTTGTGCAACCTTCTTACTAGGTGCAATAAATGAATAAACATAATACAATAATGTGCTTGAGTAACATTTATCGATGAGTATAATTTTATGAAGGGTTTTCACCTTTTCATAAAAGCTAAAAACTATTTATTTATATTTAAAACAACATGAACTTTATGCACTATAAAAGGATTAATTCAAAAAGAGAAAAATATAGTTGAAATGCTCAAGTTTGTTAATGGCGTGATTATACTTCTTTTCTTATTTCTTGTTACAATAGAAGCTGATGATCGTAAGTTATTTTTCATAATGTTTTAATTTCTTTTTATTTTTCGTTCGTAAACAAATTTTTTCTCAAGTTTTAGTAACATTATATTATTTTATTTGTTCATTCCAGAACATTCAAAAATTGTAATTATTATTTAATATTAAATTTATTAAATACAATTTAATTTTTATTTATTATTTGGAATTTATTAATAAAATTATTAATTATTAATTATTTATAAAATATATAAAAATTATTCAGAAATTATTATTATATAATTATTATTTTTTAAATATTTTTTAATTATTAAATATTTTTAAATTTATTACATATTTAAAATTATTTTAAAATTTCAGATTTAAGGATGGAGCCAAAGGGGATGCGCCCCCTTTATAATTTATAGGGTGCCTCCATCCTGGATGGCGCCCCCCTATAAATTATAAGGGAGGAGTCATACCCCACGGCGCCCCCTTGTAAAAAAAAAATACGAAAGTTGGGTAGATTGGAAAATATGAGGGAAAGTAGGGTAGTTTGGATATTAATGGGGTAAAGTTGGTTATTTGGGTGAAAATTTCGGTTACTACTGTATTATCTATAAAATTTGTCACTCAAATAGGATATATACTAAATGTCATTGACTTATTATAAACTTCGCCACAAAAATAAAAGTGTCAAGATGAATCTAACAACTAGAACTCAAATAGTATATATCCATAGGAGGGAAGTGGTATTTTAGAAAAGAAAAAAAAAGTTTTTTTTAATAAAGAGTGGGGAAATAGCATACCACATATGCGTGTAAGACTTTTTCTTCAATAACATTATTTGTTTCTTAATATATTTTCTCTATTTTACATCAATATTGAATTAAAACCGCTCAAAGGTACAATATCCATGCTGGTCAGAACCAACACAAGACAAGTTCATACATATTGATCATTTATGAACCAACACAACAAAAGTTCTTTTCACTCAAAGCCTTTGCAGAATCAAATGGAACCTCTCATATCACTTCCAATTAGGCCACTCTATCATTGATATTGATCATGTTGTAGACAACCTTGCAGAATCAAATAGAGCTATCCTTTCCAATCCACTTTACGGATGTGCATCTCCGAAATCCAAAAATGCATCTCCGGACAATTTTGGTATTTACAGGCTTAGGTGGTTGATCCGTTTCATTAGCCATTCTGTAATATCTGGCTTTACAAGTGCTTCAGCTATCGCGATTGGTTTATCGCAAGCAAAGTACTTTTTGGGGTATGATATAGCCAGAAGTAGCAAGATTATACCGTTGGTTAAAAGTATAATAGTTGGAGCTGATAAGGTATGCAAAAATTTGAAAATGAATATCCATTGAAGTTTCTTCCACTAGGTGTGATTATCTACCAAATTTTCTGGTTAAAAAAACGTATGCTTGTAGTTCTAGAATACCTATAGACGTTACTAAATTATTTAGGATACTAAAGAAATTAGGATAAAGTTTGATGAAATACAAAGTTAGGTTTTGTAGAGTGGACTATTGGTGGAAATGGATTTGTTGTGTTTTTAATATTTATTTCATTAAGTTTGATGAAATACAAAGTTAGAGACTACAAACTCAATTATACATCCTTGTATTTTCCCTCTCTGGATTTAGATTTTTCCTCTGGCCACCTTGGTTGAGTAACGTGTATTTATGTTACCCTTGGATAGGGTTTTGAAAGGTGTTAAGGACTCCTCATAGCATAAACTATTAGTTAGGCGCAACTGCATCATAAGAATGTTTGGTCTCAAACAGAAAACAAGCTATATTAAATCGATGAGACCCATGACAGAAAACAAGCTTTATAGTTAGTCTGAATGCTAACAGTATGAATTCTTGTCTCAGTAAAAGTTGCAAATACATGTCTTTCATGAGTTTCTAATTGTCAATTATTGTGGGAAAAGAAATTCTCTGACAATGGTTTATGTGTGTTGTGTTTGTGATTTTCATGTCGAATCTTTTCACCAACTTTGCTTTCGTGCGACTATTTGCTTTAATAAACCTTCTTCTTAATGCAGGTTTTATTATCTAGAATAAGCTTCTTCAATTCAAAGGGTGTTTCAAGTTCATATGGTTATGGCCTTCAAAAATACCGGAAATCTGCCGAGGCTGTAATGTGCAGCCTTCTTCCAAATTCTCCAACAGCCACAACAAGCAGAATCGATACTCCGATAGTAATGTTAACTGCCGAGATTCCAGTTTTTGTAATATATTTTAACTGCTATATGTTTTCTAATTAGATTTTTATTTTTCTCTGATATAGATGGTTTGATATGGGTGAGTGAATGGAACTCTTTACAGCAGCCTGTTGCATCGGCATTCATTGGCACAAAGCAAAGTGAATAACAAGATGTGGGGAACTGTGAGTGGTGAAAATGACGAGGATGGTTTAAGGACTTTGAACATTAGCCAGTGTGCATCACTTACTCCTTCAGCTGTTCAGGCTGTTTGTGATTCCCTGCACTTCACAATGGTGCTTTGGTTGTGTTACTACATTGGAATTTATGTTGAATAATTCAAATTTAGATTTTATATGGTTCTTAGAAGTACTAATTTTAATTTCGTTAAACAATTTGGTGCTTGGACTACTCCAGTGTCTACAGGATTCAAGAAACTCAAATCTGTGATTGTTTGTTAATAGGAACATGCAACATTTTGTGAAATTGTTTTCTAAGGTGTTTAAAACTGTTATAAAAAGTTTTCCAAACTTTTGTACTGAGCTGCACAAAAACTATAAACAAATATCAGATGAAGTTTCTAATTAATTGAATTGAAAAATGTTTAAAAAAATCATAATTTTTAAGTGGGTTTAAAATTGGATTGGTCCAACAATTAGCTAAAACTGGAAAAAAAAACCGATCTAGTTAACCAAACCCAAAAAAACCCGAATCCGAAAAAACTAATAGTTGAATTGGTTGGAATTGGGTTAATATATATCACCCGAGGGTTGGGCCGGATTGCGGTTTTGGGCCCGAACCCGAACCGGCCCGAACCGATGTCCACCCCTACTAAATATCACAATAAGAGATGAGAGAAATAGGTAAAATAGTACATAAAACTTCTCATCAATAAAAAACTAATCAATATTGTTACTTTTCATATAATAATTTTTCTTTTACCTATAATACCCTTAATTAATTATTACATTCATTTTACTTTTTCTCTCTAATATTTATGCGGGAGCAATTTTGACAAAATTGCATTTACAATTAAAAAAAACAAAAAAAATTATCAAGAAAATGACACTTAAAAAAAAGAAAGGTGTATATCTTAATTGAAGCTTAAAATAATTTAAGACAGAATCTTCTTATTTTCTCTATTTGGTACTCATTTGCCGTTCACACTTAATTGTATCACTTTCATCGTGAAATTCAATTTCAATATAGAAATGAAACCATATAAGTCACAATAACTAATCTTTTTACAATGTGCTGACATCAACTGATAACCGTACAAAATTGTTTCTGCATGCATTCTTTTAATTCAGGCATCTGCTAGTTTTAAGCGCGGAACAATATTCATTGATTGGAGTTCCTGAAATTTTGAAACACAGATTAAATTGATTAACATATACATACATCAGGTATAGTAATTAGTATATCTAGGAGGATCCAACACATTCATTACCTGAATCAAGAGTTTGCATGCATATGGTAGCTTCATGGTAGAAATCTGGTCTCCATTTTTACAAGATGAACAAACACCAGTTTTCAACTTATGGTTGTAATATCCTAACAACCCACACTTTCTACATACCTGAACTTCATAAGGATCACTCGATAACATGAGTCGCTCAAAAATCAACATACTAGCACCATACGCAATTAAGCAATCACGTTCCATTTCTCCAACTCTAGACCTAAAAATATAAGAAAAAAAGTGATGTTAAGCTCAATAATTAACCAATATTTATTAACGGAGATCTCAAAGAATTCCACTTATTCCATTGATCCCTCCATATTTACCAGTAAAATGCTTGGATATATATATATATATATATATATATATATATATATATATATATATATATATATATATATATATATATATATAATGGATACACTTAATCCGTGATTAGGGGTTGAAAATGATAAGAAGGAAGTAAGAAAAACACATGATAAAGAAAGATCTAAATAAGAGAAAATAAAATCCAGGAGATCATGATATCCCATTTTATTATAAGAAACAATTCAATTCTTAAACATTAATGGCTCAAATAATCCTTCAAATAAGTCACTTATTAATAGATAGTTACCATAAGAAAACCTCAAACAGCTACAAGTAAAATGGAAGTATAAAACTTTTACCACAAGTCTCATTTAAATATACAAATTAACACAATAGCATGTATAAATTAAAAAACACATCAAAAGCATAAATTGAACACCTCCATTTTTAGCTCTCCCTTCTGTAGGCTGTCTAGTTAGCAGGGTACGAGGGCCACTACCACGAGCATGCATCTTATCGAGCACCTGATCATCAATAGATGTTTTGCTGGTGAGTTTATTGGTATGAATATAAGGTAAGTTACCACTACAATGAATAATAAACTTCCCTAAGCAATATTAGAATGCCATTATATTAATTTGTGCCCTAAGGACACAGGTTAAGAAATCCATAAATAGAAAATTTGTATTGGAAAAAGTAATAAAATAATTAATTATAAACTTTTGATAAAAACAATACACAAGTTTCAAGAAAACATTTCTACATTTAGTTCTTAACATGTGCCCCTAGGGCACAAGTTAGCATTACCCTTAATAAAATGAATATTTTCAATTTCATCTAGATCACTATACTAACAGCAATATTTCACAACATTAATGATCAAACCTTTACAGTGAAACATAAAGAAACATAAGACTAACTTCATTCTTTATAAAATGATTTCAAACTCACCATATGTTTTAATTTCTGATAGTATATTGGCCCCATAAAAATATATGCTTGTAATGGGCAACCCGTAATACCTAAAAAAAAGATGAACCATTACACCTCTTAAGATTGATAAAAGCCTGTAAAATCTAATCAATGCAATTGTGCTTCAGAACCCTGTCAAAATTCATGGATTAGGTCAAAATCACATATAAGCAAGCACTAAAAAGGCCGCTGATTAGCTTCCTTATTTGATTAGTATTACGATTCTAGTATTTGTTTAAATAAGGATTACCAAATAATGCCCACATTAGCTCTACAATTCTTTTTGGCTAATTTCACATTACACAGTACCAAAAAAGTTACGGTGTTACTCACCTATTCTATTCTATTAAACTTTTGTCTAGGTAGATGTTACTCTCTGAGTCACCCACATCACAAAAAAAAAACTTACTGCTCATTAGTAGTTAATCTAGATATATTATTTGTCAACCAACAATTCCAACATTGTTAAGCTGGATATTTTGTATGGTGTCCCGGGATTGAACCTAGGATCTTCCACTTTGTGTGTTAGTTTATGGTGCTCTTTTCCATATTGTCTAAGGTCAATAAGAAACCTTGCCTCCACAGCCAAACCTCAAAAGGTATTTGATTTTTTGTAATCACTCTACTTGTGAGTTATGACACTAGAAAAATGACAAGGGCAGAATTTGATTGTCGGTACAACAGAACACACAAGCAATTAGCAGCTCCAATCCAACTCCTAGGCAGAGGAATACAAGCATAAACATAAATTATCTTAGAGGTACTAAGACCGCTGGTTGAGAATAGTTGAAAAAAAGCATAAAAGAATAGATTGGTACTACCAATATCATCAAAGATTAATCTTCTTTTTTGTAGACTGTAACATAGAAAATTCAAAGGTATGCATGACTTGGACCAATCCTAAGATGTGTAACCTTTACCCTGTGTTTGTTATCAGAGTTACTGAGAAGAGTGAAGTAGGGTAGAAGAGACTTTTTTCTTTTTTCTTTTTTTTCTTCACTCGTATATGCACAACACAACTTAACCACTTTTGTAAATCCATCTTACATCTACATTCGTGGGACTATAGGTTAAGCCTTTTCGCTTCTAGAATGACTATAGACTACAGTTGATCAAAGTTGTGCACTTAATGGCGTGGAACATTAGAACCATGTTTCCCTCTCTCCAAGAAAGATAGTAAATAGGACGTTGGCATATCTTCGTAGTTAGAGTGAATCTTGATGACCGGCTCAAGCCTCATCTAGTTGCTAAAGGTTATCCCAGATTTTTGACTTGCATTATGGTGACACCTATTCCATAAAATGCATTCACCCGTGGTAATCTCAATCAAGATTTGATATAGAGCAACCTCCTAGATTTGTTGCACAGCATTACGTTTCAAGACAAGTTTTTCATCTTTGCAAATCTCTATATGGTTGAAGCAATTCCCTACGGCTTAGTAGGGTAGATTTAGCACTTCGATTCAATAGTTTGCTAAGGTAAAGAGTGAGTATGACTTCTCGGTTTACTTATACTTAGTTGTGTTAGTGTACATTGACAACATTGTTGTTACAAACAGTGAACACCACGATTATTATCAACATTTTAAAATAAAATGTCTAGAAGGAAGTTCCTAAAGTAAGCGTACAATGGAAATTCAAGAGGAGACAACCTTTATCAATGCTATGCCTATTGACACTACTATGATCCTAATGTAAAGCTTCTGCGATATTAGGTACTACCACAACCACCCTAAACAAATATCTATCATTGATAACATAATACTCTTCATTTAAAAAATACTTCCATCTGCAATAAAACCAAGAATTCTAAAGTGAAATGAAAACCTGAATAAATGAAGTCTTTCCCACTGTAGTTGAAGCCGTGTTTCACAAGAGTTTCACTGCCAAAGCAAGAAAACGATGAGAACACTAAACAGATAAACCATATAAAACTTACCAGAGAGAAACATGATACCTTATGGTTTCAACCTTGTCAGCATGGCCACTTTCTTCCCCAAAAGCACTGCCATAATGAAATCTACCACATGAAACCCCTGCTTTCCCTCCAAGAAGCTCTATCATCTTTCCAACTGTCATTCGACTGATGCCATAGAAATATTAGTTCACATCCAGAACACATGTAACATTGTACTTACACATTTATTAATTTAAAAATAGTTATTTTAATGTTAAGCATAAAAGAGAAATCACATCCATTCTACAAAAAGACCATTTGAGCACCGATACTCTACCGCATAGCACACACTCCTTCACATCTCTACCTTCCAATTTAATTCCTCGTTATCAACAACTATATCATCTTTAAAAAATGCATTGTGACACCCACTTTTAGATATGTTCAATAAGTATATTGGTAAACAAATAACAAAGATAGTGCCTCAAAGTTGGCCTCAGTGAACTCCTATCCGATGTTCTCACACAAGTTACACATATCTCTGACCTTAACGCCCCCTCATTTTGGCATTGTCAAACTTTCATTAAAGAAATAAAAAACTCTACCTTTACTGTTTGTTTTCTTCTCCATCTGAAGAACATTAATCTTATTTAAATATAACATTACTTTGAAGTTCAGAATCCTGCTCCGTTTTAGTGTCAACATATAACTAGTGAGAATGATATGAATTACCTTGGAAACCCATGAGGATTCATAATCAGATCTGGACAAATGCCTTTCTCAGAAAACGGGAAAGTCTTCCTGCTGGACAATTGTTCCACAAACACCTTTCTGCCCATGTCTGCTACTGAATTTATCACCAAGCCAAGGAAACAAATACAGCCTGAGAAATCAATCAGCTGCTTCAAATCAAGAACAGAACCTCACAATAAACCGAACAAAACTTTACCTCAGGCCTCCTTGTGTGACGGACTAGAAGTTTGATACACATGTTACTATCCTTATCATTGCAAAGAACTACTCTATCAACTACTTCACCTCCATGACATTTACTGAAAGTTGAATGACTGGACCGATATGCACTGCATATAAGGAAAACATTTAGGAAAAACATGAAGAAAAATCTATTTAACACAAACTTAACCACAGTAAAATTTTAATGTCAATAAAACAAACCTATCGGGCAAGTTAGCTATAGATCCATGAGTTTGCTTATCAATTGGTGATTGCTTGTTTACCATAATGTCATTTGGCCTAATAATTTCTCCAGGAGCAGCAATCCCATCATCATCAAGTATCTAGAGCAAGCAAGAAAACAGGGGGCAGAATTATTTAATTACCTGGGAACTGATTTAGGGATTAGACAATGTATTTAATATCAGCAATAAAATCAGAATAGCGAATATACAAGGAAATGGGGAAACTAATAAAAAAAGAACATTACAAGGAAATCTGGAAACTGGTAAATAAATAAAGGAAATAAGGATTCTAGACTATAAGGAATCTCGAAAATCATAAAGGTTTGTTTCCCTGTTCGAATTACTTCCCAACTTATAAAAAATGAAAACTTCCTAACATAGAAAAGTCTGATTTCCTAACAAAAAACTGTCTGAGATAGAAGGCTAGCTTGAAAACAGCTTTCAGTTAAAGTTAAAGTGCAAAGAGGAAAGTGCCAAAGTTGACAAGGGTCCATATCAGAAATTGGTGGGAAAGTTGATAGAAGATCTACTTCAGACTATAGTATCTTCTTGTATGAAAACCTTCTTGCTTGGAGGAGTAAGACGCGAAGTGTACTTACTCGAATAAGCGCTGAAGCAGGGTTCAGAGCTATGTGCCCGTTCACATATTATAAGCATCTCTCTCACAAAAAACATTGAGATTGATTGACATTCCATTGAAGAAAAGTTGGATAGTGGATTGATAAGTACTGCCTACATACTAATGGGCCTCAGCTCACCGATGTGTTAATAAAGGGTTTACCAACAGAGCGATTCAACCAACTTACTAGCCATTCACCAACTTGAGGGGGAGTAATGTAAATATTAGACTGCAAACACGACGTCAAGTTGTCATTGCGGGAATGATTGAGATAGTAATGAAGGGTGTTGTCTAGGACTTTTTGTTGCATAGTCAGAGGCGGCTGCTTATAGGTTTTGAGAGCACCGATGATATCTCAACAGTTAGGGAAAAAACTAATTACTAATTTAATTTTAGTAAGAATACATTAGTCCTATATACAATTTCTTGTACATATATATTACTATACAAACTATACAACGACCAAAGCCTCGATCAAGAGATTTTTTAAAAGTATTGAAATATTCAATTTTAATTCAATACATCTTATGTAACATCAATTAAAAATATATTACTATAGAAACTGAAGGCATATCACCTGCATATTTCCCCCCGAGTCTGCAGCTCTATTGGGCCTCAATATACGATCTTGTGTGCCATTCTGATACTTTTGTCTAACGGCAACATACCTAAACATTCAAGACTATCAAGCTTGACATTGCTACTTAAAAAACGTATCAATGAAATATGTTGCAACCAGAGAAGTGAAATCACCAAATAAAATAGTATATACCTTTTCATAACTATACAACGACCAAAGCCTCGATCAAGAGATGACTTGTTCATGACAATTGCATCCTCAATATCATAACCACTGTAGCTCATTACGGCTACAGTGGCATTCTGACCTGCTCCAAGCTTATCATATCCAACCTAAAAGCCTAAAGATTAATAAGAGCCCTTGACACATTGAGAAATAAAACAATGGAAGCATTACTTACCAGCTCAATTGATTTTGTTGTCAACAAAGGTCGTTGAGGATAAACCAATAGATAAAGTAAGGTGTCCATTCGTCGGAGCTAAAAAAACCAAATTAAAACTTCATCACTAAGCATGGAATATCGAAGTTTATCTTTAATAGAACAAACATACTCTACAAAGAAAACACAGTGCAGCAGCATAGTTACTCTACACACGAAATGCAAGAAGAAAAACAGTCTCTGTAGCACCGAAACTTCTGAATAAATGCATGTATGTGTCTGTGACGGATACTGACACCGACGCCTGTGATTACGTTCAATTATTAATTTTTTAAAATTATTCGTGCTTCATAGAAAATAGTTGCAACTCATCGGTTATTGGAAAAAATCCAAGGCCTGCATTGAAACAGTATAAAGAGTGGCACTACATACCTTCCAACCAATTTTGTAAGGATGAATCAGATTCAAAATAAAAACCTAAAATCTTATAATAGCTTATTGATTTGGACCACCAACCAAATTGTCAGCACACCAAACTCAATAGTGTGGGAGGTGGATGGGCGTATTATAAAAAACTCAAGTCCTACATTGAAAAATGATTAGGCCGGTAAAGAGAACCTAATATTAGGTCCTCGTGTAAACTATTGTGCTTAGACATATATTCATTTCTATACTTTCGAATTAGATCACCATCCAAAGTATTAACATGATTGATACATTACAACACCTCTACAATCACCCGGCTAGCATACAGTGCAAACTTCACCGCTTCTAATTTCATAATAATCAAAATAAAAATCAATAGAACATATATCATGTCAAACATTGCAGCACAAATAGGTTCTAATGTGGTGGGTGGGGGGCATAGATAACAAACTTTTATGGGCATTAAATTTAAGAGCTTCGGATTCCAGGCAATAAAATGCACATTAACATAGAAGGCCTCACTCCAAAAGCGGAGTAACTCGATAAAAACTGATGTTGCGTATCATTTTGAAAAGAGACCATATGGTTCAGGTATATTTCAAAAACAGTATTTGCAGACCTAAACATATGTTTGTATTTAATTCCATACAGACTAAAGAAATAAAGCTAATAGAAATTGACTCATTAAAAAAATTAGTCTAAATTTAATAAATTTGTTTAGAAAAATATATGGATAATATTTTCATCAAGTTTAAGCTGCATAAACAACAAATTGTTTACTTGCCTGGTTATATGCTATATTTCCCATAGCTTGCTTTCCCATTGCACACTACAGTGAACAGAACAAAAGCTATTTCAAGAACGGAAATGAACATTGTCTATTCTTACAAGTGCAAAATCTTAGTTACTAACTTAAAACCAAAGGGGGCCAAGGAGGAACAACCTGATAAGTGTTTCTAGGAGATTGATTATGATGAGGGTATGGAATTAGCCCCGCGCAAACTCCTAAGATAGTGAAAGGCTCAATCTCAATATGGGTAGTTTCTAATGTTGCACCTCCTTCATATAAAGCAATCTATAAACAAAAAGAGGCACTGGTTGTCAAGAATAAGATTTTAAAGACAAAAGAAGCTAGATTTAATTTGAGAAAAACACACCATAGCATTGTTTTCCTCATTGACATCAAGATACTCAATCAAGCCCTTACGTAAAAAGTCACGAAATGTGCACACTCCATCCTGAAAACACATTTGAGTTAATATTTTTATAAACAGCTCTCATTCTCTATTTCAAGATAAAAGCATATGATAAGATTACCTTTAACTCTTTCATATGATAAGCTTTGACTCTTGATATTCCTTTGTCAGCAATGACAAGAGGACGGCAAACTCTACCACCATCTGAAGCTAAGTAAACACAACACTGAAAACATGTTTTTGTCCGTTAATAACAGTTTCAACTCACTCCCTTCTAACATTACAACAGTTGAAGAAGCACAATAAGTATAGATTTTGAGCTAACCCATAGATAGTGGAAATAGATAGCAATTGTTGTAAATACAGGGTCAAATTGCATATGTAATTATTAGGAGTATAATACTTGCAATGATCAGCATTAGTGTATTTATTATTTATCTAGTAAATAGAACTGGTCTAATTATTTATATATACCTTGTACACTTCAACTCGTTCAATAATATTCATATTAGACCTTGTACACTTCAACTCGTTCAATAATATTCATATTAGACCTTGTACACTTCAACTCATTAAGTAATATTGAAAGTTTCACTCTCAGCGATGAAACTAGAGTAAAATAGTATATTCTTGGCATATTTTTAAATATTTTAAATATAACATACTTACAAACACAAACAGTATAACCATATTTTTAAATATGAAAATAAAAACTGAAACATACACCAATTAAGAGATATCACCAACCCAAAAAAATGACTGAACTAAAAATAAATAAATAAATAAATAGTATAAGTACAAAAGAGTGAGAATAAAATGGAAAAAGAATCAACTGCAACAGAAGTACTCACCTGTTTTTCATTGACATAGATACTCACAAATTCGCCAATTAGACATGCTCTTCGCAACTTTCTCATTGCAGTAGCAAAACGCTAGAACAATAAAATTTTAAGGTTTACGATAAAATGAAATAATTATGAATGCATATTTGAACAAGTACAAATTGTATATGATAAAAAGCATATCAATACCCGTGGTCTCCTGTGCTTGCCAAGGATAAAACCATTAAAAATGACAAGAAAGGAATCGGGTGTATGAAGCTCTTCTCCAGAGAGATGTTCCATGTTTTCAACACCCAAACTATAGCACTGACAGAGAAATAATAAACACAAATTGTAAAACACTAAAGTAAACAATAACGCATGTGGAAACATGTTCTATCTTACATCTTTTTTAAACAATACAAGTTAAATTGAAGCACAATAACTAGTTAAATAAAAAAACATACACACAAACAGACACTCACACACATATATAATATCCAAGGGAAGAGAATCAAAGAGTGAAACACAATCTTACTTAGACAAATACATAAATAACAAGATAAAAATCCAGCTTATAAAGGATAGTCAATGACTAGCCTTTGCAAGCACAAAGAACGTAGCTGCATAAATGCTCTATACTGGCCAAAGAATAAAAAAATCTTTACTTTAAAAGCATGAAAAGTGCCGGCCCGGTCAAATCCAAACCTGCTTTAACCCCTAGACTTAGAGTGGTATATTACATGAAACATAAGTTTGACAAAATGATGTCCCCGTAGAAAATGCTTTGGCTACCATTGATTGGCCCAACTTACAAGTGTATCGGAGGAAATGAAAAATAAAAAGAGTAGGAGAAAGGTAGGACAAATGATCCCAGAATCCCACTGAAGGGAGCTTGATAAGCCAGCTTTAAATAAGTGGTAAAAACTTCTATCATGGTCCCAACGATCTGCACTTTCCTTGCCAAACCGAGGTTGATGATGCCAATGGGGAAAAATATTTTCCAAACACCTCAGGGGAAAGCTCCGCGAGGCATCGGCAGCAAACCAGTAAAACAAACAAGCTACCAAATAAAAGCATTGTGAAAACTTGGGCTAAGCCACCTTAATTCCAAATTGGGCTAGATGTGCCCTGGGTTAGGCCCAACGAGTTTGGCCTTGGATAAGGCTATCTAAAACCCCCTTTTTATGAATCCAGTAGATAATAACACTAAATTGGGTCTGGCTTATTATATTTAAAATAAGACCCAAGTTGCAAAATACCCCTTTTGCCCCCACTACATTTCATATCCACCAATACCCAGAAGAATGGCTTTGGGTGGGGTGATATAGGTTGTAATTCTTGTTTCTCAGCTATTATTGTCATGTCATCCAGCATAGTATTTTGAAAACGTTAAGTCTTCACTTACACGTACCTAGTTTCTAGAACTATACACTAATTTCCACTGTATACAGGATTGTTATCAAAGGTTCTGCTGTCCTAAGCATTGACAATCGGTCAAGAGCTACACTGCACTAGTTTCTGACAGTTACAATTTACAAATTGTCTCATAGTTAGAATGAGTACAGGTTAGTACCAAATTGATTGAAGGTTAAGTTCTGTATAAATACTTATTATATAAGTTATCAAGTTCAATTTTGAGAATCAAATGAATGAATGAATGAATGAAAATTCGGTCAATTTCTCTCTTTTTCCTATGGTATCAATGAGTTCATGATGTTTGAAACATGGCCTGGGATATCTTCCTCTACCACCACCTCTGCTAGTTGTTCATGCCACTAATCAAAATGTGGTGAGGACAACACATACTTGCAATTTAAGGCTTCGCAAGCTTCGGCATCAGCAAAAATTGTCATGCTGGTTATTCTAAAGTTTGTCTCTCAGTCTTTGTCTAATGCCCCTTGGGTTGTGGACTTTTGAACTTATAGTCATGTTAGTGGTAATGCATCTCTTTTATCGAAAATATCCCAACCTAAAACCCTATATTACCTGTTGGAATTTCCGCCTTCTTCATTTCGGTCTGCCCTTAGTCGCCTAATTGCAGCATTTGGTTTGCCTTAATTGCAACCTCCAACGCCTTTCATTGTGTTGGGTTTGAAGGGGTGGATTTAGTATCACATTGCTAAAAGATATGACATGTGGTGTGTTTATAAGTGGGGACAATCCTCACCCAATAACTCGGTTTTGTAGGATTGAGTTGGGTTCAACCCAAACTTTGAGATGATATCAGAGCCTATCCTAGACCTGATGTCGAGCTTCCCGCATCGTCCACGCTTCGGCCTCATTAAGGCCCGAGCGTAAGGGGGTGTGTTGGAACTGCTGCCTTCATTTCGGTCTGCCCTTAGTCGTCTTAGTTGCGGCATTTGGTTTGCCTTAGTTGCGGCATTTGGTTTGCCTTAGTTGCAGCCTCCAACACCTTCATTGTGTTGGGTTTGAAGGGGGTGAATTTAATCCCACATCACTAAAAGATATGTCATGTGTGTTTATAAGTGAGGGCAATCCTCACCCTACAAGCCAGTTTTGTAGGGTTGAATTACGTCCAACCCAAATTCTGATATTACCTTTGCACACAGATCAAAAACTAGATCAAGTGGCATTGGTCCAGCCACCCTTCTCCTATCTTTATTTCTTGACTATGTTCTTTTTGTTTCTAATTGCCCATTTAATTTAATTTATGTTAGTCGTCTCACCCAAAGTTTAAATTTTACTCCCTCCGTCCCAAATTATAAGACGTTTTGGGTATTTCACACGAATTAAGAGATGCAATGATTGTTTTATGGGAAAGATAAATGATCTATTACTTTACAAAAATGCTCTTCATTAATTACATTGGAAAGCAAAATTAAAATAATAGAAAGAAGAAAGAGTAATAAATGATAGAGAGTATTTTAGGAAAAAGTTATTAATGTTGTATATTTTTTTGTAAAGTGACTTATAATTTAGGATAAAGGTAGTATATAACTTCCATTCTTGATTCCTTTATTATTTTAGACCGGAGTTTGTAGCAGATGATTGGTACGGGCTATGAGTCACACAGACTTTATTAGCTTCAGTCTCCATCTACAATTGCTTCAACTTTTTTTACAAAATTATCATGTCTTTTCATCGCCGATTAGGTCATCCAAGTCTACAATTGCTTCCACTTTTTTTACAAAATCTTCATGTCTTTTCATCGCCGATTAGGTCATCCAAGTCTCAAAATTCAAAGTTACCGTTCCTCACTTGTCTCAGTTGCAATCTCTAGATTGTGAATCACGTCTCATCTTCCTCACAACACGTAAGCCGAGGTTTCCTGTTCACTTGTGGATATTGTTCATTCCGATGTATGGGAACCTAGTTGAGTCACTTCAGTTGAAGGACATAGATATTTTGTTACTCTTACTGTTGAGTTTTCTAGATGTATGCGGATCTACTAGTTATCACCTTTTTGAATTTTCTATTATGGCACTACGTACTGTTCTACTCGCAATCCCTATCCCATTTCCTCAGTTATCACTTTCTTTCTACTATTTCTTGCCTTTCTTTCTACTATTTCTTGCCTTCGTTTCTACTATTTCTTCCATTATTATTCCCAAGTCCCTGTAGTAAGCTTTTTCTTATCCAGGTTAACAACAAACTATGATTATTGAGATAACAGCTTTGGAAACTAACCAAAATGTACACTTGTACCACCACCTCTAGGAAAATCTATTGTTGAATGTCGTTGGACTTACACATTTAAAGTTGGTTCAGACGGAAGAATTGATTGTTTGAAAACACATCTAGTGGCTAAAAGTTATACTCAGGTGTTTGATCTTGATTACGTTGATACCTTCTCACACATGACTAAAATTGCTTCTGTTTATCTTTTTCTCTCTATGGCTATCATGCAACATTGTATCACTTAGACAAAAAGAATGCATTTCTTCATGGGAACTTGAAAGAAGAAGTTTATTTAAAGCAACAGCTTGGTTTTGTTGCTCAGGGGGAGTATTGTTGGTATGTTTGCCGCCTTCACAAAGTCTTGTATGATCTCAAACAATCCCTTCGAGCATGGTTTGGAAGATTCAGTTTCGTGGTTCACACTACGCCATGATTCGGAGTGAGGTTGCCACTCAGTTTTATAAAGACACCTCACACAAATACATTTATTTGGTTGTGTGTTGATGATATAGTCATTACAAGTGATGATCAAGATAGAATTGCATGACACAAACAACATCTGGTATGGTACTTTTACGTCAAAGATCTAGGAAGAGGGAGTAACTTAGGTTTTCCATGTATTGTTCTACCTTGTACTTATTCTTTTACGAATCAAACGGACACTAATCACAAAGGCTTTAAATATTTATCTCCTAATTGCATTCTCTAAATCTCCAAAGAAGTTCCTTTTCGCGAAGCCAAAGTACAATGACTCAACCATACAAGCATTACAACTTGGAAGTCATTGGCTCAGTTGGGATATGATAAATTATGAATAGTAATGATAGATAAAAGGAGAACAATACACTCGAATACAACATTTCATTGCAATTATATTGGGAATAACTTCCTAGGGTAGCAGTTACAACCTGCAACAGCAGTTACAACCTGCAACAGCAGTTACAGAATATGCAATTAACTGTATAATTAAATACAACCTCTAGGATTAGAGAGTCTGGTCTCTCCAAGTCCAAATCAGGCAACAACAAACTGAACGAGACTTTCTCCTTCTTTATTCTACTTAAATACATTATATCTAACTAGCGTCCACGCATGCGTGTCCGTCTGTCCGCAATTATAAGAACTCAAAAGAACCCTTTAAAGGCTTTGAAAATTTTCAACATAGCCAAATCAAAATACCCTAAATATTCCCACAATGGTCCTGTTTATGCCACCATGATCACTATCCTTGGATCATCAAGTAGACTCAAAGAGATGAGTGATTTGATTGAGCAAATGAAACAAGATTCATGTGAGTGCAAAGATTTCGTCTTTGTGTCCGCAATTAAGACATATGCAAAACAAGGGCTAGTAGATGAAGCAATCTCTCTATATAAGAAGATTCCTCAGTTTAACTGTGTGAATTGGACGCAATCTTTCAATACCCTTTTGGAGATAATGGTGAATGAGGGTAAGCTTGAAGATGCTCATGGTCTTTTTGTTGAGAGTTCTTGTGGTTGGGAAGTGAAGTCTCGCGTTCGAGCGTTGAATTTGCTTATGTATGCTTTGTGTCGGAAGAGTCGATCGGATTTGGCATTGCAGATATTTCAAGAGATGGATTATGAAGGTTGTTAACATGATAGAGATAGTTATCTTGTTGTAATGAAGGGATTGTGTAAGGA